CAAAATATGAGTAGGAAACCAGAATATCACACCCCAAATATGCCTCTCTTTGGCATAAGGATTATTTTGGGAAAATGTAGACGTGGCCTCATTTCGAAGCTAAAGTGAGCTGTGGTTGAAACCACCTTTGCAAAACTTTTATCAGTGAGGAAATTATGACAATGAAAGAGATCTGATCTAGCCCACTCCCAAGCTTTAAAGCTGGCTTAATCATTCCTGGGCTTTGGATCTCTAGCTAACTTTGGAAGACATTTAGGTTATAATTTAAATGATAATAGCCCTTCCCCAAAACTCAAATGCCTTTATAAAGCTAATGTAGGCGGGCATGGTGGCGCATGCCTGTAGTCCCAGCTACTCAGGAGGCTGAGGTGGGCAGATTGATTGAGCCCAGGAGTTCTGGGCTGTAGTGCACTATGCCAATCGGGTGGGTGTCTGCACTAAGTTCTGCATCAATATGGTGACCTCCTGAAAGCAGGGGACCACCAGGTTGCCTAAGGAGGTGTGAAGTGGCCCAGGACAGAAACTGAGCAGGTCAAAATTCCCAAGCTGATCAGTAATGGGATCACACTTGTGAATAGCCACTGCACTCCAGCCTGGGCAACATAGCAAGACCCTGTCTCAAAGATGCAAATGTAAAGGCCATCAGGCCTGGGGAACAGAGGAAGCTCAATTCTGCTAAGATGTAGACATGGAGTGCCAGCCATTCCTGCAGATAACACCACTATTGTAGATTAGCCTTTTGAGATAGCTTTTCAGGCTTTTTGCATGTCTGACACTCATGGCTCCACCTGGACCTGCTGACCCCCAGGGACGAGTCCTGTGGCCCCACTGAGAAGTGATTCAGACACAGGAGGACAGCTTAGACCTCTTATGATTTCATCTCTGCCCCAACAAAGTCAGTAGAAAGCCTACGCACTCCCACCCCTTCCCCTAAACTGCCTTTGAAAAACCTCTAACCCACAAGCCTTGGATGAGATTGATTTGAGTACTAATTCCATCTCCCATGTGGTGTAGCCAGACTTGTGTCTATTAAACGCTTTCTTTGCTGCAATGCTATGGTCTTTATTTGTGCCGCAATCAGGAAGAACCCATTAGGTGGTTATTGATCACACTACTGTACTCCAGCCTGGGCAACAGAGCAAGAAGACCCTATCACAAAAGGAAGAAAAGAAAGGGAGGGAAAGAAGGAAGGAAGGAGGGAAGGAGGGAGGGAGGGAGGGAGGGAGGTAGGGAAGGAGGGAAGGAGGGAGGGAGGGAACGAGTTATCTTCTTCAATACAGTAATCCTTAATTCCCCATTTTCAATGCCTTTTTTCCTGCCCTAAACACCCTACATATATGAATCCTGGAAAGAGGTATAGTATGAATGAGAAAACCAAGGCTCAAAGAGGTAGAATGACTTGCCCAGGGTCACATACCTCATAAGAGGGAAAACCTACAGCCGTACATGGTGTCTCATGCCTGTAATCCCAACACTGGGAGACTGAGATGGGTGGATCTCTTGAGCTCAAGAGTTTAAGACCAGCCTGGGCAACCAAGTGAGACCCTGTCTCTACAAAACACAAAAGTTAGCCAGGCAGAGTGGCATGTACCTGTGGCCCCAGCTACTCAGGAGGCCAAAGTAGTAGGATGGCTTGAGCCTGGGAGGCAGAGACTGCAGTGAGCTGAGATCGCACCACTGCACTCTAGCCTGGGTAATAGAGACCAATCCCATCTAAACAATAAATAACTGATGAGAGATGAGGTACAGGAAACACTATCCTAAAATATGGTACCTTGGCATATTGAGTATTTTAAGCTGAAGGAAAATGAGAAAAACCACAGAAGGAGGAATATATCTCTGATCTTCTCTGTCTCTGATCATCTTATTTCTCTCCTAAAGCATGGTCATGAAAGAACTCTGTAAACTACCTTCCCTGAAAGTAGGTCATCAGAGAGGTCCTGCTCCCTACCTAGGCCTCATTCAAGAGGGGTCCTACCCTATATCCAGGGGCCAAGAAGAATCTGAACAAATGGACCTTGCTAAGTGCCCCCCACCAGTTTATTACCATTAGATAATACCTATTTTTCGTGCAATTATACTTCTACATGACAACTCTGTAAACCAAAAATTATCTGAGAGAAGTCTCAATCAATTTAGCAGTTTATTTTGCTAAAGTTAATGACACAGCCTTGGAAGGTCCTTGGGAAGTCTTGACAACACATGCCCAAGGGAGTCAGGCTACAACTCGGTATTAGACATTTTGGGGAGACATGTCAATCAATACATGTGAGATGTACATTGGTTCAGTCCAGAGAGTAGGACAATTGGAAGCAAGGGCAGATAGGTGGATTCAAAGATTATCTGATTGGCAATTGGTTGAGTTATCTAAAAACCTGAAATCATTAGAAAGGAATGTCTGTATTATAATAAGGGGTTGCGGGAAAACAAGATTTTATCATGCAGATGAAGCCTCCCGGCAATAGGCCTCAGAGACAATAGATTGTAAATGTTTCTTATCAGATTTAAAGAGTCTGTTCTATCAGTCTTAAGATCTTTTTGATGTTAATGGTAATGAGGCATGTCTGACTCTCCCTTCCCATCATGACCTGAACTCGATTTTCAGGTTAACTTTGGAATGCCCTTGGCCAAAAGGAGGGGTCCATTCAGATGGTCAAGTGGTTCAAATATTATTTTTGGTTTACAGCCCATTCTTCATCTAAGAAACCTAAGCATAAAACAACAGCAGTTTGTGTCATTTATGAAGGTTCCAATGTCATGCAAGACTTTGATTTCAAAAATGAAATAGATTTGTTACACTTTATTCTTGTTAACTTGTCTTTTGTTATAAGGGTGTCATCCATGAAACAATGGGTGAGGAAAAGATACTACTTTCTCTCCTCTACAATACCACACTCTCTTCAAAGCTCATGCTTTTTTTCTCACCTCCATTGTTTCACAATGAATTCACAGGCTGCAATGGCTGGGGGTTGGGTTGAAAAGTAGTGGGGAGACAAATTGTCAAGACTTTTGAATGCCATACAAAGGAGTCTATATTTTATTTTTTATGAAATAAAGAGTTATTGGCCAGGCATGGCCTGTAACTCACACCTGTAATCCCAGTACTTTGGAAAGCTGAGATGAGGAGATAGTTTGAGCCCAGGAGTTTGAGACCAGTCTGGGCAATATGATGAAACCCTGTCTCTGTAAAAAATACAAAAATTAGCCCAGTATGGTGTCACATGCCTGTAGTCCCAACTACTCAGGAAGTTGAGGTGGGAGGACCACTCAGGTCCAGGAGGTTGAGGCTACAGTGAGCTATGATTGTGCCACTGTACTCCAGCCTGGGCTACAAAGCGAGGCCCAGCCATGAAACATAAAAATAATAAATACGGAGTTATTGAAGGAGATCTCTGCAGTCAGAAAAATCTGGGCACAAATCGTTGGGGAGAAAAAGTAGTATCTTTTTTTCACCCATCACAAGTTTCATGTCTGAGTCCCCTATAACAAAAAACAAATTAACAAGAGAAAGCATACTTATTATTTATGGTAAGTTTTACATAAAACAGGGAACCTCAGAAATGAAAACCCAAATACTCAAGCAAAGCTACTTTGATGTACAGTCATGCAGAAGTATGATTAGAGGACAAAAGGGTATAAACTGAGGGAGGGGAAGACTTACCAAGGTCTGCTCAGATTCTTCTTGGCCTCCAGGGTTGGGGAGGACCCCTCTGGAATGAGGATCTTATGACCTACTTTCAGAGAAAGTAGGTCAGAATTCTATTTTTTTTTTTTTTTGAGACAGAGTTTCACTCTTGTTGCCCAGGCTGGAGTGCAATGGCAAGATCCTGGCTCACTGCAACCTCCACCTCCTGAGTTCAAGCAATTTTCCCGCCTCAGCCTCCCAAGTAGCTGAGACTACAGGTGCCCATCACCATGCCTGGCTAATTTTAGTAGAGACGGGGTTTCTCCATGTTGGTCAGGCTGGTTTTGAACTCCCGACCTCCCGATCCACCTGTCTTGGCCTCCCAAAGTGCTGGGATTACAGGCGTGAGCCACCACGCCCAGGGTCAGAATTATTTTATGGCCTGCTTCAAGGGAAAAAAGCAGGATGAGGTCAGAGAGTTTTCTGTAGTCTTATCAATTTCTTTCAGCTTAAAATACTCGGTATCCCAAGGTGCTCTATAACCCACCAAAATCATGTTCCAGTAATCAACTTCTATATAGAAAATCACCCAAGAGGCTAGACGTGGTGGCTTATGCCTGTAATCCCAACACTTTGGGAGGCTGACACAAGTAGATCACAAGGTTAGAAGTTCAAGACCAGCTTGGCCAAGATAATGAAACCCTGTCTCTACTAAAAATACAAAAATTAGCTGGGCATGGTGGCAGGCACCTGTAATCCCAGCTACTCAGGAGGCTGAGGCAGGAGAATTGCTTGAACCCAGGCAGCAGAGTTTGCAGTGAGCCAAGATCGTGCCACTGCACTCCAGCCTGGGCAATAGAGTGAGACTCCATCTCAAAAACAAACAAACAAAAAATCACCCCAGAACTATATAGCTTAAAACAATAACCATTTCTTATCTCTCATAATTTTTTGTGGCTTAGGAATTCAGGAAAGGGTTAGCTGGGAGGTTCTGGTGTGGGGTCTCTCAGGTAGTTACAGCCAGATATTAATTCTCTCTCTGTCTTTCTCTCTCCACATGGCAGTCTCAGGGTAGCTACACTTCAAAGGCTTCCAGAGTGAGTATTTCAAAAAGAATAGTAAGCATCTGTGCAACCTTTTCTATCTAGCTTTGAGAGTCATTCTGATCTCTCTATTGAGAATGTTGCAAAGACCCAAGAACAGAGGGCATACTTTCCACCACTTGATGGGAAAGACATCATAGAATCATGGCCATGTTTTAAAACCACCACTTAACTCATCTATATAATATAAAGAATAATAACAATAATTATCTTGAGAGAGTCAATGTGAGGCTAAAATAAGAGTATAACTCATTTCTCCATTTCCCTTCTAGATCTTCCTGAGATCACCTCTCAGTAAACTACTTGCACTCAGCCAGGCACAGTGGCTCAAGCCTGTAATCCCAGCACTTTGGGAGGCCAAGGTGGGTGGATCACCTGAGGCCAGTAGTTCGAGACCAGCCTGGCCAACATAGTGAAACCCCATCTCCACTAAAAATTCAAAAATTAGCTGGGCATGGTGGCAGATGCCTATAATCCCAGCTACTCAGAAGGCTGAGGCATGAGAATCACTTGAACCCAGGAGATGGAGGTTATAGTGAGCTGAGATCACACCACTGTATTCCAGCCTGGGTAAATAGAGTGAGACTCTGTCTCAAAAAAAAAAAAACTTGCACTCAAATCCTTATCTCAGGTTCGGCTTATGGAGGAGCCCAACCTAAGAAAGGCATGAAAGAAAAAAAGTCAACTCCTAGGTTGTTGGCCTGACCAGTTGAGCTTCATCATTTTAGCTTAAACAGCCACATTTATGGAGTATATGCCAAGTACCATGTTACATATTTTATGCCAATTCCTAATCATAGCCACATTGTGTAGTATATCGCATCATCCTCATATCTCCAATAAGAAAACAGGCTTGGAAAAGTCAACCAGCTGCCCAGACAACTAGTAAGTGGTGGAGCTGCTTTGTAAAGAACCGGAAATGAGGGAGGTAGAAAGTAAACTGCTTTGGTATGGCTGCCCAAATGTGGGGTTATGACAACTCCTATTTCCATTATTTCCATGTGCCAGACCTCCCTCCCAACTGGAAAGTTCCTATTTCCTCACAGTGAAAGTTCCTATTTCCTCGAGTTCCTATTTATTTATTTATTTATTTTTTTTTTGAGGGGGAATCTTGCTTTGTCTCCCAGGCTGGAGTACAGTGGCGTGATCTTGGCTCAGTGCAACCTCCACCTCCCAGGTTCAAGCAATTCTTCTGCCTCAGCCTCCCAAGTAGATGGGATTACAGGTGCTGGCCACCACACCCAGCTAACTCTTGTATTTTTAGTAGAGACAGGATTTCACCATGTTGGCCAGGCTGGTCTCGAACTCCTGACCTCAAGTGATCCACCCACCTCGGCCTCCCAAAGTGCTGAGATTATAGGTGTGAGCTACCACACCCAGCCACAGTGAGGATTCTTAATGCTACTATCATTCACCTTGTCACTGATGGAGAAATTGGAAGAGATGGAGAATGAAAAAGAGAGCAAAAGTATAGAGGATGAGAGAAAAAGTTTACAATGTGCCATTTACTGTTCAATTCTTCATGTCATTTCATTTAATCTTCCCAACAAGGCTCGAGGGATACATTAGCTAATACTATCTTTCATTTCACAGAAGGGGGAAAGGCTGAGTTCTATGAGACAGTAAAGAGAAAATCCAGCCAACCTGACACCCAGGCTGTCTGGGTCCCGCCCCGCCTCACTGTGACTCAGAAGTTGTCTGAGTAGTTGTCTGTACGTTTTCTATTTCTTTTCTTTCTTTTTTCTTTTTCTTTCTTTTTTTTTTTTTTAACAAAACAATTTCATATCCTAGTTTCTAAGTATATCCCAGCTGGTCCCTGAGGAGAAATTAAGCCTGCTTAAGGGGTTGGAGCAATCAAAAAGCAGCTGCAGGACATAAAAGTGAGAAGTTCAGCAGCACTAATAGGTGTCTGAAGAGAGAAACAGGTGGTTATAGAGCCTGCAGCGATGGGGCTAGAAAGCAGCCTGTGTGTCTGCAACATGAGAGGGAGGTTTTATGGCTGGAGGACTGTGTGTATATGTGATCTTGGGGGTAATTCTTCATCTTTCATCATGTAGCAGTGTCAAAAATGTACATGTTACAACTTGGACTTACAGAAAAAAGTTGCTATTTTTCAGTAATTGGGCTGACATTGGAGCACCCATTCTCACCAATGGTGGAAGAAACACTTAAACAGGGTAATTAAGAAAAATGGGCTCCTCTGAAATGAAGCAGCTTCACTTCAGGTAAATATTCATAGCCAGTGGGAAGTTCAAACTCCTGGTCAGGACTGTTTCTTACCTCCCAAGGTGGCTTCAGGATGCAGGGCCTCATGGCCCTGGTTGGGGGTAGGGTGTAGTTCTCATTCTGTTGACTCCGGCTGACCTGTTGACATATGGCTCATCTCACCTTGCCCTGGGACCTTCCTGATGCTACAGTGCTACAGCTGGCGGACCTTGTGGTCAGTTCTCTTGGTGAGGCCAGAACCCACTTGCTGCCTGGGCCCAACCAGTTCTCACTGCTCTGAGTCTCAGCATGTCCTCCATCTTTTTTAAAGTACCCATTTGGCAGCCTCTGCTATATGGGCATCCAGAACCTTATCAGAATGTCCAAAAAGTCATTCCCATTCTCCATCTCAGATACTCCCAGCTGCCATGGAATTCTCCATTTCTTCACATGCTGCTTCCCCCCACCAGGGTCAGGGGCCTCATTTCTTCATTCTCCCAAAACAACCATGATGTAAGGCTATTGGATGCAACAGATGTTTACTGGAGATTTGCACATAAGATAGGTATTGAATGTAGCACAGAATAATTCAGATGATAACTCAAAATTGGATACCAGCCATAAAAATCCCTGCCTTAGGCCAGACACAGTAGCTCATGCCTATAATCCTAGCACTTTGGGAGGCCGAGGTGGACAGATCACTCGAGGTCAGGAGTTCGAGACCAACTTGGCCAACATGGTGAAACCCCATCTCTATTAAAAATACAAAAATTAGCTGGGCGTGGTGGTGGGTGCCTATAGTCCTAGCTACTTGGGAGGCTGAGGTATGAGAATCACTTGAACCCGGGAGGCTGAGGTTGCGGTGAGCCAAGAATGCACCACTGCACTCCAGCCTGGGTGACAGAGCGAGACTCTATCTCAAAGAAAAAAAATGCCTGCCTTAAAAAACCACTGACCATTCCCTAACAGAAAAATTAATCTCTCCCTGGCCTGATATTATTCCCAGGATCTGGCCACTGTGTTCTAGAGCCCCGCACATGCCCCTCTTCTCCCTCACCACCCCATGTTCTTGCCCCATCTCTCAGCCTGACCATGAATGACTTCCAATCCTGTTTCTTACGCAGAAAGATTTAGCCCTCTCTAGGCAATATGAGGTAAGGGAGGGGTGTGATGGAAGGGTTTTCCTTTTTATAATCAAACATGCCCATTAAGGCATTTTTTTCCCTAATATACTATGAGTAATTCCCTCCCTAGGAAGAATTTTTTTGCCCTCATTTTAAATCTGCCAGCTCAATGTTAGGCAGCTTTACTAAAACACTTTTGTAATGCCTCCAAACATTTTGTAATGGGGTATTTTTTTGAATCCTCACACAAAGCAATAGGTAATACTATTACATCCATTTTACAAAGAAACCAAGGCTTAGCAAAGTTAGGGAATATAGCCACTGAGTGAATCAACAGCCAAGTAAGAACTCAGACCCAGGTCTGCCTTACTCTAAATGCCCGTGCTCTCTGCTACTGCCCATCGGGGAGAAAGAGATATGTGTCTGCAGCTGAGAGGCAAACCCCATATTCAGAACCAATTCCGCCGGGTGCAGTGGCTCATGCCTATAATCCCAGCACTTTAGGAGGCCGAGGCAGGTGGATCACAAGGTCAAGAGATTGAGACCATCCTGGTCAACATGGTGAAACCCCGTCTCTACTAAAAATACAAAAATTAGCTGGGCATGGTGGTGCGTGCCTGTAGTCCCAGATACTTGGGAGGCTGAGGCAGGAGAATTGCTTGAACCCAGGAGGCGGAGGTTGCAGTGAGCCGAGATCGCGCCATTGCACTCCAGCCTGGGTAACAAGAGCGAAACTCTGTCTCAAAAAAAAAAAAAAAAAAAAGAACCAATTCCCATGTAGCAGGAATTGCTTCTGCACTGCAGGGGCCTCTGTGGAGGGGACAGGCCAGGACACAGGAGCCCTTGACACCGGGGAAGCTTGTTCCCAAGGTCCCTACTGGTCCAGCACACCATCCTCATGGAGAAACCTCCAGGATTCTCACTCCCTCCCAGCTCAGCCTGTTCCCTGACTGTTGAGTCTGCCCTGGAAACAGTCCCCTTGCGGCTGACCACACTGTTTCTAGACCTCAGAGCTACAGAGAGGAAGCTGCAAACTTGAGGCTCTCCCAGACCCTTCTGATCAATGTGCCTCCCTGGCAGGGAGGTATCATGCCTTTTTTTTTTTTTTTTTTGAGACGGAGTTTCGCTCTTGTTACCCAGGCTGGAGTGCAATGGCGCAATCTCGGCTCACCGCAACTTCCGCCTCCTGGGTTCAGGCAATTCTCCTGCCTCAGCTTCCTGAGTAGCTGGGATTACAGGCACGCGCCACCGTGCCCAGCTAATTTTTTGTATTTTTAGTAGAGACGGGGTTTCACCATGTTGACCAGGATGGTCTCGATCTCTTGACCTCGTGATCCACCCGCCTCGGCCTCCCAAAGTGCTGGGATTACAGGCTTGAGCCACCGTGCCCAGCCGGCATCATGCCTTTTTATATCTACTGGGCAAGGGGCCAAGCCCCCAGAGGGCCACCAGTGTTTGCTGAACTGAGTCCAATTCCAGCTACTACTGTTTCCTCCTTCCTTTGCGTAAAGGGCTCCAGTAGGCTCAGCTGATCTCAGTGACTGTGAGCACAGCTGCTTCCATTTACTCAGCACCTACTATGTGCCAAGCATCCTATGCAATGACCTTATCTGGTCTTTCCCAGTCACGTGGGTTCAGTAGAAAGTCAGCCCATTTTATAGATGAAGGAAACAGTCCAGCAAGAGCACAACAGTTTCTTGAGCTTTTACAGCATAAGCAGCAGAGGCTGGAATTTGAACCAAAGTTTGTACAACTCCAAGGGCTATGCTGTTTCCACTATGAAACACCCTCTGTCAGAGGAGATAATGTCTATCACTCCTTCCCTGGAGATGAAATACCACTTCTTTTTTGGGGGGAAAGCATGTATGGTTGTTTTTGGTGTCAAAATATGATTCTGAAAGTCTACTTCCCTGATTCGGTAAAGGGTGGGGTGAGGGGTTAGGTGAGGGGCCTGGGGCAGGAATGAGCCACTGGGTGAGTCATGCACCTCAACCTCTGCTGAGAAGACCTGAATCTTTCACTGGCCTGAGGGGTAAAAGAAGCTCTAAAACTGGGGCTGAAGCTCCATGGGAATTCTCCCTCCAGTACTTCTTAGAAATAGATCAAATATGCACATGATACAAAATTCTAAAGATACAAAGTGGTATACAAGAAAAGGAGGTCTCTCTCCTAGCTCTCTTCCAGGCCTCCCTCCAGTTACCCTTCCTAACAAGAAGGGAATTGTTGCCAGTTTCTTATGCAGCCTCCAAAAGCATTTACACAGATGAGTCTCTCTCTTCTTTTTAAACACACACACACACACACACACACTGTAGCATATTATATAAGCCATTCTGTCCTCCTTGTTTCTTTCACTTAGTGTGTCTTAGCGATCATTCAATTTCTGCAAGTATGGAGATTTTCTCTCTATTTTTTAGACGGAGTCTCACTCTGTCACCCAGGCTGCAGTGCAGTGGCATGATCTTGGCTCACTGCAACCTCCACCTCCCAGGTTCAAGTGATTCTCCTGCCTCAACTTCCTAAATAGCTGCTACTACAGGCATGCACCACCAGGCCGGGCTAATTTTTTAATTTTTAGTAGAGACAGAGTTTCGCCATGTTGTCCAGGCTGCTCTTGAACTCCTGACCTCAAGTGATCCACCCAACTCAGCTCCCCAAAGTCTGTGCCCAGGCAGAGATTACCTCATTTTTTTTTTTAGTAGCAGCCTGACATTCCATTATATGGAAGTGCCAGAATTATTTCATGAGTCCTTTATTGATGAACTTCAATCTTCAGGATTACAAACCATGAATATCTTGTATAGATCAAGTTGTACATATGTGAGTACATCTGTAAGATAAACTACTAGAAGTAGGATTACTAGTGCTTATTAAATACAGTATGCACTTTAAAAAGTTTTCAAACTTTATAGAGAATGTAGCAATGTATACCCCATCAACAATAAAAGGTACCATGCCCAGCTAATTTTTTGTGTTTTTAGTAGAGATGGGGTTTTGCCATGTTGGCGAAGTTGGTCTGGAACTCCTGGCCTCAAGTGATCCACCCACCTTGGCCTCCCAAAGTGCTGGGATTATGGGCATGAGCCACTACACCCAGCTGGGAGGGTTTTTTATATGAGAAAAAAACTGGAAGAGACTGGCTGAGAAGTAGACAGGCAGGCCTATGCCTGGCCCAGAAATTTATCCTAGGACAAGTAAAGAAGTCACCAACAGGCTGTTCCCTACAGGTAAGCTACCCATTTCACAGATGAGAAAACTGAGACTCAGAGAGCTGACTTGCGTCACTCAGGGTTGTACCTGGAATGCTATAGATCCAGGGCTAATTCCTCCAGACAATATATGCCTCACCTTCTACCTCAAGCTGTGGTCTCCTGTGTTGGGTTGGCTACAAGTCGGAGAACCCAGCTCCTTTCTGTCGTGAGCGGAAAGTAGTTGGGGCCACCACATGATTCAGAGCTTCCCATGGTTAGTTCATTCCCACATATAAGAAACCACCATCAGTCCCACACATTCACAGTCACACAGCTACTATTTTCAGCCTCCTTGGGGCCCATAGGACCTTCAGCATACACTTCTCTGAGGTGGGTAGCAGTGATGACCCAGGACATTCATCGACCAGCCTAAGGAAGTGAAACTCTCAACAGATCCTCTGCACAGCTACCACCGGATAGTGGGCAGTAAGGCTGTGAAAGAAGTCAAAGTAGCACAGGAGCCACAGTGTTATCAGCCACTCAGGAAACAGAAGTAACCAGGGTGAACTAATCATCTTTCTCTATATTGGAAAATGCCTTCTCATCCATTAACTCACTTCACCTCCACATCAGTTCTCGGAATTAGACAAAACAGGAATTCTTATATTCATTCTTATTCTTGAACAGATAAGGAAAAAGAAGTATGTCTTTTCTAGAGAAGCAGAGACCAAAGGAAGACCCAGGTTTTCTGGTGCTTAATCCTGGCCCCATGTTCTTCTGCCTCATGTTTAGCAATATCCTGGCAGAATAAGATGTTCACAAAAACCAGCTCTTATTTGCCCACATCCAGAATGAGTCACCATGTCACTAGCAATGTTGTTTTGAACCCTCCAGTACATGGACATGTATGCATTCCTTTCTCTGTATCTTTCAGCTTCATAGATGCGTCCTCTGTGAGGATACTCTTGGGATGTTTCTGAAGGACTCTTGTGGTGTCTGTCTACTGTATCTAAGTGCCTGGCATGGCCTCTGGAACATGATGGGTACTCAACAAAGGTGTGTTGCCTGATTGGCTAAGAGAATGGATGATATATGTATGAGAGGATGAATCAACAGGTGAACAGATAAATGGATGGATGAATGGGTGGGTGGGTGACTGGTGGGTTGAGTATTGGTTCACTTGTTTTTTTTTTTTGTTTGTTTTTCTAATAGCATCCATGCACCCTTCAAAATATCATCTTGACATCATTTTATGTAATTACTTCTTCCTTCCAGGGTATACAGTCTCAGTGGTATAACATATCAGGGACTTTACTCTCCCAGCCAGGAAGTATGCAAATGACACAAGCTTGGCTGGTCATACTCCCTCTCCTAGGACTGTGAATCCTTAGTAGAGTGCGATGAGGATAGGAAAATTAGCTGGAGTACATTTATATCAACAGTGGCACCCTGAAGGCACTGCCAAGTAGTTCCTGCTGCCCACACACCCAGAGTGTTTCTGGTTTCTCACTTGTCATTTTCCCAAGCCAAGTTCTCCAATGTCCTACCCATTCTATGAGCTACTCAACATTATCCCCAATACATTACTTTCCTGATTAAGTTAGTATGGTATAATTATGTGTGTGTGTGTGTGTGTGTGTGTGTGTGTGTGTGTGTAAAATTAATGTACATAGGTTTTCATCCACAGTTCCTGGCTTATAACTCATTGCCCTTACAGTCTTCTGTTACAATGTTGGGGCACTTTAGGCCTTAGAAGCAGGCTTTAGGAAGCAGAATTTCTCTCTCTTTGATCTCTCCTGCCTTCCTTTTGCCTGCCCAAGGCAGGAATCTAATCTGATTGTGGGTCATAAGACCCTCATTCCAGAGAGGGCCCTGCCCCATATCCTGGAGGAAGGAATGCCGAAAAAAATCCGAGCAGACAGGCCCTGCTGGGTTCTTGCCTCGCTCTATTAGCGTTAAATCATATCCTTTTTGCCCAATTACATTTCAACATGGTTGTCCATGCTTATCCAATGAACTTTATAAAAGGCTCAAGAAAACAAGGTTCAGAGAGCTTCCAGAGAGCAGAACACATCAAGGCTGACAGGAAGGTGAAGGAGAACTCATCCACGTGCTGGGCGAATGGTGCACCCCAACTCCAGAGGAACAGAAGCTCTTCCAGATCTTGCCTTGTGTATCTTTTCATCTGGCTGTTTAAATGTAAGTGTTTCCCTGAGTTCTGAGAGCTCCTCCAGCAAGTTAATCAAACCCAAAGAGGGTGGATCATGGTAACCCCAACTTGAAGCTGCTTGGTCAGACATTCTGGAAGCCCAGACTCATGACTGGTAAGAAGGAGAGAGCAGTTCTGTGGAACTGATTCCTCAACCTGTGGTTTCTGAGGCTATTTCCAGGTAGACCAGTATCTAATTGAATTAACTGGCAGACACCTGGCTGGTGTCCATTGCAGAACTGATTGCTTACCTGTGTGGGAAGAAACCCCTAGATATTTGGTCACAGAAATCTTGTGTGTTGTTATGGTGTAAGAGAACAGGAAAAATGCATGCTGAATGTTTTTTTCCACACTCCCAGTCCACAAAAGTTTTCTCCACTTATGAACAAAGAATTTTTTTTTTTTTCCTGAGACAGGGTCTTGCTCTGTCATCCAGACTAGAGTACGATGGTGTGATCGTGGCTCATTCATGGGGAGTTTCAACCTCACGGGTCCAAGTGATCCTTCTACTTTAGCCTCCTGAGTAGCTGGGACCACAGGTGCATGCCACCATGCCCAGCTGATTTTTAAATTTTTTGTAGAGACAGAGTCTCCCTATGTTGCCTAGGCTGGTTTTGACCTTCTGGGCTGAAGCAATCCTCCCACCTCAGCCTCCCAAAGTGCTGAGATTACAGGTATGAGTCACTGTGCCTGACCATGAACAAAGGATTTTAACAGACATAAGATGCAGATGTGAAGGAATAGCTGAGAGGTCTCTTTTTGTTGTTGTTTGTTTTTTCTTAAAGACAGGGTTTCACCATGTTGGCCAGACTGGTCTCGATCTCTTGACCTTAGGCAACCCATCCACCTTGGCCTCCCAAAGTGCTTTGATTACAAGGATGAGCCACCGCGCTCAGCCTGTGAAGGAATAGATGAATAGACGTGTGCTGGACAGGAAGGAGTGAAGGAATGAGAGGGCAAATAGAGGAATGCAGTGGTGCCCATAGAGGACAATTTCATGAGCTAAGTGGTAAAGTGAGTCCCGGGCCTTTGATGGATAAGAGAGAAAGAAGGGATCATAATCTCTCAGCCTTACCCATAGGAGGAGTAATGTGAACTAATTTTAGGGGTAAACAGGACACTTACCCCCAAGTCTCACTCTAGTATACTAGAAATTCTTTACTTTTCTCTCTCTCTTTTTTTCTTTGGGTTTTTTTTTTTTTTTTTTTTTTTTGAGACAGAGTTTCACTCTTGTCACCCAGGCTGGAGTGCCATGGTGTGATCTCCAGTCACTGCAACCTCTGCCTCCTGGCTTCAAGCGATACTCCTGCCCCAGCCTCATGAGTAGCTGGGATTATAGGCACCTGCCACCATGCCTGGCTAATTTTTTGTATTTTTAGTATAGACAGGGTTTCACCACATTGGCCAGGCTGGCATCGAACTCCTGACCTCAAGAGATCCACCCACCTCACTCTCCCAAAGTGCTGGAATTACAGGTGTGAGTCACTGCACCCTGCCTATACTTTTCTATCTTTTAACTGAGAAGGAAATAAATAACATTGTCAGATCTTCATTTCACAGATGAGGAAACTTGGACCTACAAAGGGCAAGTGGTTCACCAAAATCTAACAAATGGGTTTGGAGCTGCAATAGCACTAGAGCTTAGGTCTCTCAATTCCCAGTTCCTTGCTCTTTTCACTACCCAAAGCTGACACTAAAAGGAATGACTGTGGTGCAGAATTTCCAAACCCTAATTGGAGGAAATTCCCCAAGGGGACTTTTTCATGCAAGTTGGAGAGCCTCAAAACTGCAATGAATTCTTGGAAGGTTCTAAGGACCCTAATAGTCTAAACTGAACATTAGAAAGAAGGGGAAGCAGCATAGTGGGGAAGCAGGGAACTGGGACCCCCCTCCCTGAGAATGGAAGTAATAGGCAAGAAGCCAAGGGGCTTCCCAGGATGAGCTCAAAAAAGGGCAGCATCCAGACTACAACCACATCATCCTGTAAGATTCTGAAGCTTTGTCACTTCCTTTCTAAGCCTGTCTGTGAAACTCTTTGAAAAGGGGTATGTGTGCTGACAAGACAGCCAGGAAGGGAGAAGGAAGGACCACATCCCGCTCCTTGGCCAGGCTCTGAGAGACAGAAATCCAGTGAAGGACAAAGCATGGGGCTGAGTGCCTGAAGCCCACTGCATTGAGGGCAGGAGAGCTCAGGGCAGGTCTGAGTCATTAATATTTTCTGTGTTTCTTCCTAATAAGTGAAATAATGTGCATTGTGTCTAGCACAGTGCCTGACAGCTCACAGAAAATCACCCACTTCCCCTCTCCCACCGCCATGCCTCCTAACTCTCAGATGCGAGGAACACCTCTACTGGGAGGGGGAAGCCATTGAGGGAAGAATTGCTGGCACCTTGACATTTGGGGAAAGAAAGGAAAGGAATTGTTTTCCAAGTATCTACTTTGTGCCACAAATGGTATTGGGCAATTTACTGATTGCCTCATTTAATCTTTTGAAGTATCCTTGGAGTTAGGTATTCTCAGCCCCGTTTCCAGAAAGGAAACCAAGGTGAAAAATAGTTAATAATTTGTTCAAAAGCATACAGAAAAGTGCCAGTTGCGGTGGCTCACACCTGTAATCCTAGCACTTTGGGAGGCCAAGGGAGATGGATCATTTGAGATCAGGGGTTCAAGACCAGCCTGACCAACAAGGTGAAATGCCATCTCCACTAAAAATACAAAAATTAGCCAGAAATCACTTGAATCTGGGAGGCAGAGGTTGCAGTGAGCCAGGATTGTGCCACTGCTCTCCAGTCTGGGCAACAGAGTGAGACTCCATCTCAAAAAGAAAAAGACATACAGAAAGGGTTGGGTGATGTAGCTCACACCTGCAATCCCAGCACTTTGGGAAGCCAAGGCGAGAGGACCACTTAAGGCTAGAAGTTTGAGACCAGCCTATGCAACACAGTGAGATCCCTTCTTTAGGAAAAAAAAAAAAAATCTGCCACAAAGGCCACATTCAATAGAAAACATGTTTTAAAAAATAGCCAGGCATGATGGCATGCACCTATAGTCCCAGTTACTCAGGAGGCTGAGTCAAGGAGATTGCTTGAGCACAAGAGTTTGAGGTTACAATAAGCAATGATCAGCTACTGCATTCCAGCCTGGGCAACAGAGTGAGACCCTGTCTCTAAAGAAAAATCAAACAAACAAAAAACGACATACAGAAAGTATGTGCTGTCTGATTTCAACCCCAAGTTTGTCCTGCTTTACCAGGCTTTCTCCTGGGGGCTGGAGGTACTGGGGCCAAGGGCAGGGGTGGGGTGTGCAGGGGATAGCAGTGCTCCAGCAGTAAGAGTTCCTGAAGAGTACTTCATGAGGGGGTATATACCAGTAGAGGGGAAGCCACCAGCCATCAGCAAATATGCAGAGGAAAACAACAACAAAAACAGACCCCAAGATATCAATAGGAGGAGGACAGTCTGAAGTCATCTGGCACCCAGCCATTTTGGAAGAACTGATGCTTCTCCGTGGGCCTTGCTCCCATGGCTACCCCACCCCCAAGACATCTTGTAACAGGCTCTTCCAGTAACCAGAGGCAGGTGAGCGATGCTCTGATCAACAAATACACTGCATGTGGTCTCCATCTGCAATAAACAAGTGGCTGTGCCCAGCCAATGTCCTGTGTGGTGAAGGTGAGAAGAGTGAGGGAGAACCAAGCTGCAACCCTTGATCTGAATGTGGTTGAAAGTATGAGAGCCGTTGTCAAAGTTAGTACACTGACACAGTGCAATGTGCATTAAAGTGAGATATAAGGTGACAGGAGAGGGGAAGGGAGCGGAGGGGAGGGGAGAGGAGGAGAGGGGAGAGCAGGAGCAGAACAGAATAACACTGAAAGAACAAACTAGAGCTGAACCAAAAATCAAGGGCAGGATGTTGTAGAGTCTTGGATGGGGTTCAAATTCTGTCTTCTCCTGGGAAGTCTCCTGAGCCTGCTACGAGGTCTCAGCTTGCACCCTGTTGCCTCTGGCACCAATGGAGCACCTACCCCATGCAGGGTCCTTCAAAAACAAAGAAGGAGATAATTTCCAGTCTCAGGTGGGAAATATGCAGACTTGCAAACAGGGGCAGAGAAGGACAGGAACAACCAGTAAGTCTCCAATTTGCAGACTGGGAAAATTAAGGTCCATGAGGAAATGACTTTGCCTTAGGCTTCTGTCGGGAGCCCAGATTTCTAGAGGATGGGGGGAATTTCACTGCTTTAGGCATGTTTTTAAGAGCAGCTGAACACTCAGAACTGCCCCCAACAGTCTGAGGTCATGAGGGGAACTCCATGCCTGATGACAGCTTTGGAATCCAGATAGAATTAGGTTTCATTTTCTCTACCAGCATTTGGTTTCCTAATGTCACATTATGAAACTTGGCTAGCAGCCAGCTTAGCTTTGGAAAGAGTGAATGATGGGGGGAAAAAAAGAAGACTACGCCAGGGAGGGAGGGTAGGAGAGGGGCTACACTAGGCTTGAGGGGATATAGGCCTGGCTTTAGTGAGGATTATGCTGGGAAAAGGGGTGCCAGAGGCATGAAAGCTGATAGGAACCAGCCCTGTGGATCAAGAGGTCCATCAGTGAGCCTGCAGGATCTATGAGCCCCTTATATGCAAAATTACATGTGTCTGTCTGGGTATGTCTCTGCAGATTGGTGGAATTATTTACAGCTTTCATGAGATTCTTTTTTTTTTTTTCTTTAAGAAAGGCAGACTGCCACATGCAACACCTCATTTGGATGTGTCTGGAGTCTTGGAAGCTTGACTACATTTGCCTACAAATGGACCTTGAGAGCTTGTTTGGAGGTTCTAGCAGGGGAGCGCAGCTACTTGTATACCCTTGACCAAAGAACAGTCCTCCTATCTTGGGGAAGGTTGTCCTCTTCTGAAACTGCCTTTGCAAATGTTATAGCAGTGAGAAAATTATGACAGTGAAAGAAATCTGATCTGACCGATTCCATCTTGCTTCTAACCTCCCAGCTGCCTTTGTTCATTCCTGGGCATAGGGAGCACTCAATTTGGGAGAAATTTAGTTTATAGTTTAACTTTGAAACAAAGATGATAACAGCCCCTCCCTTACACAAACCCACTAGATTGGCCACAAGATTAGAAATTACGGCTCAGCAGTCGTGCAGCCAGAGGCTTTGAGACCACTAACCTCTCCAATTGCTCCTGTAGATAATATTACTATTGTAAAACCTAAAATTGGTGTTTGAGGTATTTTTCAGACCCTGCATTCTGATGGATCAGCTGGCACCACCCATACCGGCAAACTGGCTCATCTGGTCTTCTGGCCCCCACCCAGGAACCAACTCAGTGCAAGAGGACAGCTTCAACTCCCTATGATTTCATCCCCGACCCAACCAATCAGCATTCCCGCTTCCCTAGCTCCCTGTCCTCCAAACTACCTTTCAAAAGCCCTAGCTTCCAAATTTTCAGGGAGGCTGACTTGAGTAATAAAACCCCTGTCTCCTGTTTAGCTGGCTCTATTTGTATCAAACTCTTTCTTTATTGCAATTCCTATGTCTTGATAAACTTGTTCTATCTGGGCAGTGGGAAAGAAGAATGCGTTGTGTGGTTAAACCAAGCATACAGCTTCAGGAGGGACGCACAAGGAACAGTAAAGGGAGAAGTGTACACAGGCCTAGCCAGCTAGATCAGCCAAATTGAGACAGACGAGGAGTGGGGCTTGGCGGCAGCTCACCCGCACTAGAGCTTTCTTTCACGCTTTCCCACTGATCACAAACCCCACACCACTACCTCACTGATACCATGTTTAAGCATGCCTTTTACTTAACAAATTCCAGGAACTGGCCTTAGGAAATCCAAGTATCAAGCCAAGGTTGTGGGGTATTCCACCTCAGGAAGGAATGCTGAACAACTGATTTACAGACTTGTTGCCACAGCCAGACTACCAGGTAGTCCATTACTCAAGATAGCCATTATGACCAGATAATGCTAACCTGCATACCCTACCCTTCACATGCTTTGCCCAGCCCAGCCTGCATACCCTACCCCTGATGTCAATTCTCATGCTTTGCATAATAAAAAAAAAAGCCCTACCAGCTCTGCACTGAGTCAGTCAGAGAATTCTCCTTGTGCTGCCTCCCTTATGTCCAGGTAAAAGCTCCAATAAAGTCTTGTCTCAGAAAACTCTTTCGACCTCATGTCAATTTCTATTGCATTGAAAACCCAAGAAACTATGATTGGTAACAGACAACCCTGGTGATCAATGGGGTGACAGATATTTCAGACAGATCACTCTCATATCCTCATCTGATTCTTTTTTTTTTTTTTTAAGATCAAGTCTTGCTGTGTGGCTTAGGCTTAGGCTGGAGTACAATGGTACAATCTTTGCTCACTACAACCTCTGCCTCCTGAGTTCAAGTGATTCTCCTGCCTTAGCTTCCCAAGGAACTGAGACTACAGGCATGCACCACCATGGCCAGCTAATTTTTTTTTTTTTTTTTGTATTTTTAGTAGAGATGGAGTTTCACCATGTTGGGCAGGCTGGTCTCGAACTCCTGACCTCAAGTGATCCTCCTGCCTCGGCCTCCCAAAGTGCTAGAATTATAGGTGTGAGCCATGGCACCCAGCACCCCCCCCCCCACTTTTTTTTATTCGAGACAGGTTCTCACTCTGTCACCCAGGCTGAAGTGTAATGTGGCTCAGTCTTGGCTCACTACCACCTTTGCCTCCTGGGTTCAAGCAATCCACCTGTCTCCCCACCAAGTAGCTGGGACTACAGGTGCACCACCATGCCCACTAATTTTTGTATTTTTAGTAGAGATGGGGTCCACCACGTTGCCCAGGCTGGTCTCGAACTCCTGAGCTCAAGAGATCACCCGCCTCAATCTCCCAAAGTGCTGGGGTTACAGGCGTGAGCCACCACACCCAGCCCTCATCAGACTCTTAAATGGCTCCATTGCCCCAAAGAGGTTAGGTCCAATATCATACTTTGCAGATGAAGAAATTTAGGCCCAGAGAAGTAGGCAACTTGTTCAAAGTCATCGTTAATAATAGCAAGGAAAATACTACATGATCTCACTTACATGTGGATTGTGGAATCTAAGAAGGTCAAATGCACGGAAGCAAAGAGTAGAACTTTGGCTACCGGTGGTGGGGCTATAAAAGAAATTGGGAGATTCTGGTCGAAGGACACCAAGTTGCAATTATGTAGAATCTAATGTATAGCATGAGGACTACGGCAGGTCCCCTTTATCTGAGGGGGATATGTTCCAAGACGCCCAATGGATGCTTGAAACCGTGGATAGTACCTGTTATATACTATTAGATTATGTGTTTTTTCCTATACTACCTATGATTAACTTTATAAATTAAGCACTGTAAGAGAATAACAACAATAACAAAATAGAACAATTATAACAACATACTGTAATAAAATTATAAATGTTAATTTTTGGAATTTTCCATTTAATATTTTCTGACCATGTTGACAAAGAGCAACTGAAACCACAGTAAGCAAAACCACAGATAAGGGAGGACTACTGTATAGTTAATAATATTGTACTGAATACTGGAAATTTTCTAAGAGAAGAGATTTCAGGTGTTCTCACCACACATACAAAACAGCAGTAACTGTGTGAGGGGACAGATATATTAATGTGTTTAACTGCAATAATCATTTCACTCTGTGTATCAAAACATGTTGTAAATGTGATTATTAAAAATTTCGAGACCATCCTGGTCAACATGGTGAAACCCCGTCTCTACTAAAAATACGAAAAATTAGCCGGGCATGGTGGCGCACGCCTGTAATCCCAGCTACTCGGGAGGCTGAAGCAGGAGAATTGCCTGAACCCAGGAGGCGGAGGTTGCGATGAGCCGAGATCATGCCATTGCACTCCAGCCTGGGTAACAAGAGCGAAACTCCGTCTCAAAAAAAAATACACAATTTTTATTAAAAATTAATAAATCATAGAGCTGGATTTTGAACCTAGAAGTCTGACTCTAGAAAGACCATTTAATCAAGATGCTATAAGAAGTTAATAGGACTGAGCTTAACTTCCGCCTCCTCCGGCGAGGCTCCGGCCTCAGGTCCGGATGGTCGCGGTGCGGCGCCCTGCCGGGAGTGGTGGTGAGTCCGAGGGCGCCACAGCAGCCCTGCTCCTGCCCCTGGTGGATGCCGTGCTGCGAGGGAGCGGTTAGCCCCTCCTCTTCTCCCCGGGGTCTCAAACGGGTGGGAAGGGACAGTCCCAGTGGCAGACCGGGCGCCTTAACGCGCCGTGGCCTCGCAGGCGCACGGCAGGGACGGACTCCGGTGTTGAGCGCCTCCCGTGTCCCCACCAGCGCTGGCCCACGCTCAGGCCCCAGAGCTGAGCCGCCAGCCATGGCCGCTCCCCGCGGGAGGGCCGCGCCCTGGACGACGGCCCTGCTGCTGCCCCTGACCTCACAGGTCCTATACTCGGGGAGCTGCGCGGACGAGGAGGAGGTCCCAGAGGAGTGGGTGCTCCTGCACGTCGTCCAGAGCCAGATAGGCGCCGGGAACTACAGCTATCTGCGGCTGAACCAAGAGGGCAAGATCGTCCTCAGGATGCGCAGCCTCAAGGGCAACGCGGACCTCTACGTCTCCGCCAGCAGCCTGCACCCCCAGCTTCGACGACTACGTGCTGCAGTCGGCCACCTGCGGCCCGGACGCCGCGTCAATCCCCGCGCACTTCCGGCGCCCAGTGGACATCGGCGTCTACGGACACCCGTCCCACCTGGAGAGGGAGTTCCAGATGAAGGTGTACTACGACGGCAGGTCGAGCAGCACCCGTTCGACGAGGCCGCCTACCCCGCAGACGGCGCAGATGCTGGCCAGAAGCACGCTCCTGCGCCAGAAGACGCCTCGCAAGAGAAGGAATCTGTTCTCTGGACGATATTAATTAGCATTTTGAAACTAGTACTTGAAATTCTGTTTTGAGTTCTTAACAACGCCCTGGAGTATAAAACCCTCCATCTGTGAAGCTGATTGCAGTTTGCTGTGGACCTTGCTACTTGTACTTGGTTGAAGTTGTAGTTACCTTTTTCTAGTCAAGGGATGGAAAAATAAAGCCATATGCATTTTGATACCTCAGTTACCTCCAAAATAGGAAAAGTAGCAAGCATAGTATTTGTTTTCTTTTAAAGATCAAAATTCCTATATTAATAAAAGGACCGTGTACCATAAAATGTTTAGACTCTATTTTCATTAGGTTGACTAAAAATGAGGATTGCAGTCACTTAGGTTTATATAAATCGAAATAGAGCAACCTTTCATGCTGTGACACAGATGAGATTAAAAGGTTGGTAACTTTATAATTTTACTCTGGAGATTGTAAGCGAAGTTCAAGGTGTTAGAGTTACTAAAATCAAGTTGGAAATGATTTATATACACTTCCCTGAGCCTGGACTAAAGCCCCCATGCCTGAACCCCAAGTACAGATGGGACTTTTCTATACTAGAAAGGGATTTCCTGGCTGGCAGGTATTTACAAACTTTGTTCCTGTACCAGTCCAGTAATGACAACTCTAAATCAAGCTGCACCAGATCTTATTAGGCCATTTATCAATTTTGGCCTATGAATGAAAATTCTTTAGTTATTAAATAACTTTTTTAATGCTACCTATGGTAGGCCAGAAACAATGTAGATTAGGAAGTTTCATAAAAATAACTTTTTGGACTATGGAGAAATAGTTAAGTAACTTAAGTTCCTAAATATTTCCACTGAATTTTTGGAGTGAGCCAGTGTTAATATAAAATACTTTAGAAGATGAACTCTCTACCTGGAATCAGTTTCAAGGGTAAGAGTAGCTTTTAACAAAAATAAATCAAATTCAGATTTTAAGCTATAGTTAATTTAAAAAAAATCTTTTACTAGCATAAAAATGAAAATGTTGTAAATAAATTGGCACCAAATATTCCACTTAAATGCATATACAATATTAGGGTCAAAAACTATTTTATCCCTCTTTGCTGTTTTTTCCCCCTTCTGCCCACTTTCTTGGGTGTTGGGGGAGCCTGCTGACAACAGTCACAAATCCAGCGACCTAGGAAAAAAATTGTTAGTTAATACAGAATAAAAAGTAATTTTTATGGGACTGATTTTTAAGCCTATTTAAACTCTTATTCCTTAGCTAACTCTAATGATATTCCTCTGTGGATTTTGTGGTGAGAAGGACACTGAGCTCCTTAATATGAGGAGATAAATGTAAACTTAATCAATGTAATCAATGCTGTGCAAAATTCATTCCCAGTCAAGGGGAATGGGAGAGATGCGATGCCATACATATGGACCTTTAAAAAATAATAATCTTTCCTGAAATTTAAACAGTATCATACTTCAGAAGTTCAATACAAACAATACAAAACCCATTCCAGAATTTGGCTTTTTAAAGCCTTTTTCACTCCTGTTTACTGGCAGCTGTGTGTCTTAACAGCATTCTTTCAAGTCCTGGTGTACTATGCTGACAGCACTTTAAAACTTCAAGTTTCTAACAGCACAGTTATAAATTGTACTACATATTTGATCTGAATTACTACAGAACTTTAAGTAAATACGTTGCTTGCTTAATGATTCCCAGGAAACTTCATTGTAGGCATATATTTTATAGAGAATTATACAGTGTTAACACTATGCAAGTAAGTTCTAAAATTACACAATTATCCGTGTAATATTTTAGTCCAATTACTGTGATTTATTCAATTCTCTTTGTTGTAAAGTTATCTGGAACTGTCATGCTGCCCCAATTTATATAAATCTATAATAGACTTTCTATAGAAATGTGTAAAGATGTAGCAGTCATTTTGTTAAGTTTCTAAATAGATAACATAAAAATAAAGGCTTTGAAACAAAAAAAAAAGAAGTTAATAGGACTTAATCAGCATTGATTTAGCAGCATGTCTAAGACATTTATTGCAAAGCAGGTGGAGAACACAAATAAACAAATAGAAAACACATAGGACACTGTCACTGTGCTCATGGAGTTAAGACCTGTGGAAAGACGATTGGGAATAAAAGAGTGTAAATTTACTTGTTTGTTGTTTATCTCCCTTCTCCCTGACCCTCTACTCCATACTCAAACAAGCTCTAGATGGCAGGTCTTTGCCTGTTTTACTAGCCATGGTGTCTGCAGTGCCTAGAACGGTGCCCAGCTCACAGCAATTCTCAGTAAAATCTGTAGAGTGGGTGAGGAATGACTGAGTGGCATGGACCATGCACATTAAATGGGATGGGGAGAGCAGAGATGGCTCCATGATGGTTGTGCCCACCTTACATCTCCTAAGTACATCCATGAGCATTACCTCCCCTGATCCCCTCCACCACTTCAGTGGGTCAGACAGGAAGGAGTTTCAGGTTTTCAGGAACATAAAGAGCTGGGTGAATAATAATGATAGTTATCATTCATTGAACACCCACCCTGTACTAGGCACCATACTGTTTACATGAGCTCTCTAATTTGCTTATGGTATCAGTACATTAGAACCAGAGAAAAACTTGAAGATAGCCCATCAAGCCCAAACCTTGATTTTGCACAAGAGAAAATGAATGTCATAAATGAAGTAAAAATTTGATTCTCCTCCCTCCTATGCTCCTCACAATTCACTGGAATCTCTGAAAGGGAAGAAAAATACTCCCATGCTCGGTGCAGTGGTTCATGCCTACAATCCCAGCACTTTGGGAGGCCAAGGGGGAGGCTCGCTTGAAGCCAGGAGTTTGAGACCAGCCTGGGCAACATAGCAAGATCCTATCTATAGGAAAAAATTAAAAATTAGTCCAGCATGGTGGTGCACACCTGTAGTCCTAGCTGCTCAAGAGTCTGCAGGTGATCAGCAACTGCATTCCAGCCTGGGCAACAGAGTGAGATCCTGTCTCAAAAGACAACAAAAAGAAAAATACTCCTGATATTCCCTCTACCTATTCCCGCTCAGCAATTCCACCATCCTACCACCAACCCTCTGTCCCATCACCACTTATACACAGATATACGTACACACACACACACACACACACACACACACACACACAGTGGAAAGGTTTGCTGGGATTCAAAGATGAGGAGCATGTTGGGGTTCTCTGCAGATTTCCTCACCTCTTTCTTTAGCTCATGTCCCAACTCAGCATATCTGGTATCCAGGAAAATACTTTCCTTTCTTCCTTAAAGAGGGAAACTGAAATCAAGAAAAAAAAAACAAAAACAGAAATCAAGCTCACAGGAGAAAATTGAGCTTTGGCAGTCAATCAGTTATGATTTTCTCTAAAACAATGAAGTGTGGTAGAAAGTCTATGAACCCAGATACTGGTTCAATATTGAACTCCACTACTATAGGCTGTGACCATAAGCTAACCACTTAACCTTTCTAAGCCTCAACTACCCATCTTTATTTTGTTTTGTTTTTTGTTTTTTGAGATGGAGTTTCGCCCTTGCTGCCCAGGCTGGAGTGCAATAGCACGATCTAGGCTCATGACAACCTCTGCCTCCTGGGTTAAAGCTATTTTCCTGCCTCAGCCTCCCAAGTAGCTGGGATTACAGGCATGTGCCACAATGCCCAGCTAATTTTGTATTTTTAGTAGAGATGGGTTTTCTTCATGTTGGTCAGGCTGGTCTCAAACTCCCTACCTCAGGTCATCCACCCACTTTGGCCTCCCAAAGTGCTGGGATTACAGGTGTGAGCCACCACGGCTGGCTTCCATCTGTTTTAAAAAATACTTTTCGTAAAAAAATAAAGATTTTTCTTGTTTATTTTTTTTGTTTATTATTCTTGGAACAAATTCCAAGAATACATGTGAACTAGGGGTCTAGTTTAGATTGCTGAAAAGCATAAATTACAGAATATCCTAAAAGGCATTGAAATCTTCTTACTCTTAATTATAACATGATAATATAACAAAATAATAATATTTTGCTGTTGTTGTTGAGATGGAGTCTTGCTCTGTCACCCAGGCTAGATTGCAGTGGCACAATCTCGTCTCACTGCAACCTCTACTTCCCAGGTTCAAGAGATTCTCCTGTCTCAGCCTCCCGAGCAGCTGGGATTACAGGCAACTGCCACCATGCCTAGCTAATTTTTGTATTTTTAGTACAGGCAGGGTTTTACCATGTTGGCCAGGCTGTTCTTGAACTCCTGACCTCGTGATGCACCCACCTCGGCCTCCCAAAGTGCTGGGATTACAGGTGTGAACCACCGCACTCAGCAATAGCCAATATTATTAAGTAGTTTAACATGTGTCAGGAGTTGCACTGAGAGCTTTGCAAGCATAAGGACATTTATAGGGACTTAATTATCTGGACAGCTGTGTGAGGGACTATTATTATTATCACTGATTTATAGGTAAGAAAACTGAGACCAGAGAGATTATTAATAACTTGCCTGAGGCCACCTGGCCAATAAACAGGAGAAACTGCCAAATCCCTGCTCTTAACCCACTGCCTTTTCCAGAGCCTCTCACATGTTTGGTAACTTACCTTAGACCTAAAGAGGCTTTGTGAAGGAAACAATTGGTAAAATACTTTTATGTGGATGGATGAACATTTCTAAAGTGCTTGCAATTTGTTTCTTTAAATGAGATGTTTATGTTTCCATTTTATGTTTCCAAAATTATGTTTCCATTTTTAATTGAGCTGTAAGGAGGGCATGAGAGGATTGTTGTAAAGAGCTTGGAACAAGGCTAGGCAAGGTGGCTATAATCCCATCACTTTGGGAGGCCGAGGCAGGCAAATCACCTGAGGTTAGGAGCTTGAGACCAGTCTGGCCAGCACGGTGAAACACTGTCTCTACTAAAAATACAAATTAGCCAGGCATGGTGGTGGACACCTGTAATGTCAGCTACTTGGGAGACAGGAGACTTGCTTGAACCTGGGAGGGGGAGGTTGCAGTGAGCCAAGATCTCAACACTGCACTTCAGCCTGAACAACAGAGCAAGACTCCGTCTCAAAAAAAAAAAAAAAAAAAGAGCTTGGAACAGCACCTGTAACCCAGAAAGGCCTCAATAACTGTTAACTGCCTTATTGATGTGATTCACTGGACAGTGCTTGAGCGCGGTCATCAGAAACACCTGCCTTCAAATCCCACTTATCAGCTGCATGACCTTGAAGATGTTAATTATCTGTTCTGAGGCTTAGTTTCCTCATGCGTCAAATGAGAATAACAGACATTGCCTCAAAGTCATCGTGAGGAAGAAATGTGACAGTCTTCCCATTCTGGGTGGTTCAGTCACTCCCAACCACCATGTTACAAGTGTGAGAGTAGCTAACAGAAAATGATCTCAGCAGAGGGTTACATTTTCTTTATTTTGCTTTTGTCACTGTCAATAAACATTTTTCTCTTAAAAAATTCTAAAGCCAATTTCAGCTAGCCCAGGCAAAATTGTCGCTAATTCTGAACTATTGAAATAGGAATTGATGAATATTTACTGTATCCAATTCTTTGGAATGGAGTAAGGACCCCAGCTCTAATCCAGACGTTCCAGATGGGTTCAGTTTCCAGGATACTCCCAACCACTCCCAACCTTTAATGTTGGGCAGTACTTAATGGACAGGGCACTGAAGTGGGAGCCAGGGCAACTTGGTTCTGATCTCAACTCTGTCATTAATTGCTGTGTGTTCTTAGCAAGTTACTCCTGTTCACTGGGCCTTGGTTTCCTCTTGTGTAACTGACGAACATGGAAAAAAAAGATCCTTAAAGTCCTTTGAAACTTTCATATTCTGTAACTTTTGTGCCCAAGAAGGCCTTACAGTGAGATGGGATCCCAGTATTTATTGAGTTTCCTCATTCATAAAATGAGGATAATAATATAAATGAGTTGACACACACTAAGCCGGTAGAATAGTGGCTGCCACAGATAGGCCCTCAGTAAATGCTAGCCAATAATGGTACAGTATGCTGGAAGAGATCTTTCTCTCTCTCTCAGCTTCTCAACAAGCCTATAATCAGTTATTCCACTTTATAAACAAGGAAATAGAACTCAAAGACATTAAGCAATTTTCCCAAAGATTCCTTAGCAAATAAATGGGAGAGACCCTATGGCCAGGATGAAAACAAGAAACTCCCACAAGAGGACTCCAACTCACATCTAGTGAACAGGTCCCCCAACGCCCAGCTCAGGTCAACTGCCATGCCACAATTTATAGTGTTTGAGTGTGCTCACCTCCTTTGGGGACTGTATGTCCAGAGGACTCTCCTCAATAAAATACCTTATAAATAACATCCTTCCATGGATGAGGGAAAGGAGATAAGATCTGTAATGAATAAACAAGAACGCTGAAGGCAATCAAATAAAGACTCAGTGACTTACGATCCTGTCCTAATTGCCCCTCCTTCTTGTCCCCAAGGAAGCAGCTTCCTGCTCTCTGAGGAGGACCCCTTCCTTAGAATGTAAAACTGAGGATGTCAGCAGAGAAACCATTTTCCACTACTGGTGCTTGGCCAAAGCGGTAACTGATAAGTTCACTCTAGATGGAAGGGCAGTGATGGGGAGACAGAGACTCAAATTTCCGGAGGCTATTTCAGTTTTCTTTTCCGTTTTGTGCAATTTCACTTATGATACCAGCCAATGCTTGGTTGCTATTTTGGAAACTCCCCTTAGGGGGTGCCCTTCAACTGGCCCCAACTCCTATAAAGGGCCAGCCTGAGCTTCAGAGGATCCCTGTAGAGGATCCTGAGACAGCACGTGGACCTCCCACAGCCTCTCCCACAGGTACCATGAAGGTCTCCGTGGCTGCCCTCGCTGTCATCCTGGTTGCTACCACCCTCTGCGCTCCTGTATCTGCCACCCCATGTAAGTTCTGGTCTTGACCACCACAGCCCCTGGAGTCAGACCCTCTGCCTAGAATGCCCACCCCACCCCAATGACTGTTCCGGACCTTGTCCTCTTTTCAACTGTAATATGAATACTGTCTGAACCCCATTATTTACATTCTTCTGGATTGTCTTACCCAGATGTCCTGTTGTCCTTGAGAGATCTCTAAACTGCTTCATGGCAGGGATCGCCTGATCAACTCTCCGGTCATCAAGGTCTGCTTCCCCAAGGCCCACAGGTGTTCACTGAGTGTGGACTGATGTTGGGAAGATTAGTAGTCATGAGTGGCTCACAATGATCTTGAAACAAGACTGACTCATGCCTGTCAGCAGCAGGGTTTCTAAGAAATGTAACTAAACTATAATTTCCTGAGACCCTGAGACAGTCATATTCTCTCTTATTTCATAAAGGTAAAAAAAAAGTGGGTTTATGAGAGGATACATGGCTTTATTAGTAGTGAATACTTTTTTTTTGAGACAGAGTTTCACTCTTGTTGCCCAGGCTACAGTGCAATGGTGCAATCTCGGTTCACTGCAACCTCCGCCTCCCGGGTTCAAGAGATTCTTCTGCCTCAGCCTCCCAAGTAGCTGGGATTACAGGCATGCGCCACCAGGCTCAGCTAATTTTTGTATTTTTAGTAGAAATGGGGTTTCTCTATGTTGGTCAGGCTGGTCTCAAACTCCCGACCTCAGGTGATCCATCTGCCTCGGCCTCCCAAAGTGCTGGGATTACAGGTGTGAGCCACTATGCCTGGCCAACATTTTAAAAATAAATAAAAACAAAACGAGGTTAATAAAAGATAATTAAATGGCTACTATGGATCAGGCAATGTGCTGATATTTGTACATCTTATGTAATACTCACAACTATTCTTTGAGTAGCTGTCCTTGAATTACAGAAGTGAAAACAGAGAGGTTAAGTAACATATCCAGGGGCACACAGCCAGGATTTGGGGAAACTGGTATTCAAACCTGGTTCCATCTGGCTGGGAAGATAAAAACTACTCCTCTGCTGGGAAGTGGTAACTGATGCTTCCCAGCATCATCTTGAATTAACTGACCAACAAGAAATTCTCTGTTGAGAGCTCTTCTCACTACAGTTCAATATACACCTCGCGGCCCCTCTTAGGATCCTGGTTGAGTCATGGAGCCTGGGCTTTGGAAGCCTCCCCACAACCCACCTAGGTCTCAAAGAAACAAAGCTCTGAATCCACTGAGGATCCTGGAATGGCAAGAATGAGACCAGAGGACCCAGGACAAACCGGGCAGAGGGCCTGAGAGCCAAGGGCAGAGGGTTATGATGTAGAGGGATGGATATAAGCTGGGCTCAAAGATTAGATGAGGGATTAGAATCCCCACTCTGCCACTGTGTATCCATGGCCAAGTGACTTTACCTCTCTGAGCCTCAGTTTCTGTCACAGAAGATAACAGTTCTTTCTAAATAAATCATACAAGGCGTCCAGCACAATGTCCAGTGTGCAGAAGCAATGAATAAAAAGGTTTCCCTCCTTCCTTTCCTCTCCCAGATGCCTCAGACACCACACCCTGCTGCTTTGCCTACATTGTCCGCCTGTTGCCCCGTGCCCACATCAAGGAGTATTTCTACACCAGTGGCAAGTGCTCCATCCCAGCAGTCGTGTGAGTCTCAGCCCCATGAAGCCCTCCCAGAGCCAGTTCCCTCAGGAGTCCTCTGAGAGGATGCCCTACCCACTCCCACCCATCCTCCAGCTGCAAGCAGCCACAGCTCCTCTATCTCTAGCCTCAGAGTCTCCTGCTATAATGTAAAAAGACTAGACAAGCTGTCCTTGTAGAATACTGCCCACTCTGATGGATTACATTCCTAGGACTCCAGTCTTTATTAGTGTGGCCTTTACTTGAACGTGGTCTGGAAATCCTACATGGAGAAGATCAAGTCAGTCATCTCCTTCAGTGAAGAACCTTACAGTCCTCTATATTTCACACCCAATCAAATCCACCTAAACCTCAGAGGAACTAGGGAGGAGAGGTCTGAGGTTAGAGATCTATAATTGCGGTCAAATAAAAAAACAAAAAAAATCCATTAGAGAAGAAATAAGGAAATGAGATTCACCTTTAAATATCTGAGCTAGTACATTTGGAAAAATACAATAAACCCTACTATATAGGAGGCGCCTACTGTGTGTCAAATGTCTATGTGCATGATCTCTAAATTACAATTAGTTCTAACAAGTATGCATAATTCTATGTTTCAGGTAATGAAACTAAGATTCAGAGAGGTTTATTGACTTAGCCAAGGCTGCACAGTAAATGAGGGATGAATCTCTAGAGCCTCCTCTTTCTACTATAGCAAAGCCATTAGTGACAATTGCTTAAGAAATTTATAGTAGAGACTTAAAAATGAAAATAGTGAAACCTGAAATTTCCTATATAAGAGTGAAGCTTTTTGTTGATTTGTTTTTGTTTTTGTTTTAAGACACAGTCTTACTCTGTTGTCCAGGCTAGAGTGCAGTGGCACGATCTCAGCTCACTGCAACCTCTGCCTCCCAGGTTCAAGTGATTCTTCTGCCTCAGCCTCCTGAGTAGTGGGGACTACAGGTGTATGCCACCATGCCCAGCTAATTTTTGTATTCTTAGTAGAGACAGGGTTTCACCATGTTGGCCAGGATGGTCCTAATCTCGACCTCGTGATTCGCCCGCCTCAGCCTCACAAAGTGTTGGGATTACAGGCATGAGCCACCATGCCTAGCCAATTTTTGTATTCTTTGTGGAGATGGGATTTCATCATGTTGGCCAGGTGATCTTGAACTCCTGAGCTCAAGTGATCAGTCCAGCTCGGCCTCCCAAAGTGCTGGGATTACAGATATGAGCTACTGCATCCAGCCAGGGTGAAGTTTTTTAATCCAAAAATTTGTATGACACTGCCAAAGTTAGAGGTATTCAAAGACAGACTTTGGGTCTGATGAATCTTTTGAAGTATAGTGGTAATGTTTAATAACTATTAATTTTATTTCTGAAAATATTTTTCAAAAGAAGAAAATCCTTCCCTTACCACATATTATGAACAGACAGAGATTACTAAAGCCACCATCCCAGTACAATCTTATGGGGCTTATGGTCTAATAAGAGGGCCAAGACAGACACAGCAATGACTACAGTACCCAGCAAAAAAAAAAAAAAACATGACAAGGGAAAAAGAAACACATTCACCTTCAGGGATTTACAGGTTTGCTGCAAATTGTGCTTTCTGAGGAGAGATTTGGTCCAGCAGAGAAAAGCCTGGGGGATGGGATATATCAGGAAGAGGGACTGTCCCCTAGAATTCTACTTTAGTTTATGTAGAGTCTCCATGTAGGAAAGCACAGAGGGCTTTGAGTGTCAGGAAAATGCAGCAAAAGTGCTAGAGCTGTCAAGTGTAAAATGAGCTAGAACAGGGAAAGCTGAGAAAACAGGAGTCCAGTTTAGAGTCTCCTGTCATTACCCATGTGAGTAGTATCAGAGGCTGAACAGTGCCTGAAGGAAAGGAGAGACCGTTACAAAGACAGACACCTTTGCAACCTTCAAAGGTGGAATTTGCAAGCCATAGTAGGTGATTTGAGTTCAAGAGCAAGGGAGAGAGATGGGGGTTGAGGATGACACTGAGGTTTCAACCTCTGGCTGGAGAAGTGTAGAACCACCTTAAGCCTGCAAAAGAGCTGTTTAAAGAGGAAAGAGCTAAGGTGCCAGCAAGGTAACGCTATGGGTATGTCTAGTGGTAACGGTGAAATGAACGGTTGGTAGCTGAGGAAAGGGTTAGGGCTAAAAATATGACATTCATTTGTAGGAAAAAGGCATATCACAATTTTAAAAAGGCAATCCAGCCTGCCTTCGTGAGTACTGGCTAGTTTGCTTTGTTAGGACTCCAGCTATGACACTTGGTGAGTGTAGGCCCTTCTGTTAACCCCTCAGCACCCCAATTTCCTCATCTACAAATAGGGTAATAAAAGTATCCCCCACTGGATCACAGTAAGAAAAAAACACTTAGAATATGCCCTGGCACATAGTAGGTGCATAAGTGTTAACTTATTATTGTCATCATTATCTAAATGCATTATTGCATACACAAAAGTAACAGTTGAAATTTAACATATGAATGCAATTCATTCATTTACTTACTTATTCGATAAACATCCATTAAGCATCAACTGTGTGCCAGGCCCAGGGCCAGAGACCTAGGAAAAGACACAAAGAAGAGAAAAGGGCAGCAACTTTGAGAACATCCTCTCTTAAGGGACAGGCAGAAGGAGGAAGTCAGGCAAGCAGAGGGTGCCAAAAATGGGGGCAAGGAGGGAAGACTTGGCAAGGAGGGCTGTTCTTTTTTTTTTTTTTGAGACGGAGTTTCACTCTTGTTACCCAGGCTGGAGTGCAATGGTGCGATCTCGGCACACCGCAACCTCCGCCCCCTGGGTTCAGGCAATTCTCCTGCCTCAGCCTCCTGAGTAGCTGGGATTACAGGCACGCGCCACCGTGCCCAGCTAATTTTTTGTAATTTTTAGTAGAGATGGGGTTTCACCATGTTGACCAGGATGGTCTCGATCTATTGACCTTGTGATCCACCCGCCTCGGCCTCCCAAAGTGCTGGGATTCCAGGCTTGAGCCACCATGCTCTGGCCGGGGGATGTTCTTTGACATCACAATCTGCGGGGGTGGGGCTGGGGGCAGGAAATGGAGGCCTGGGCTACCTTCACCTCAGGTATTGGTTTTCTGGCCTTTTGACTTCCAAGCCACAGGTCAAGGATGCCAAAGACAGAGGATAGCAAGTCTGGCAGGATTTCCTGTATGACTCCTGGCTGAACAAGGCAGGGCCTGTGTCTGAAACTCTCACACCACCGTAAATAAGAACGCAAACACTAGGAAGCATGAGAGCCCAGAATACCTCTTCCTTTTCCTTTCTCATCTCTGCACATGAGAGAGAAAGAGATGGTCAAGGGGCTCTGAGTGAAGCTCAGAAAAGGGAAATCCAAAGAGAAACAAGAAATCCTCATTCTCATCAGACAATCAAAGCCTTCACTTTGTCTGAAAACATTTAGGCTCAAGAATGTGCAGGATACATCCAAAAGTGGTTAAGATGGTAAATTTTATGTTATGAATATTTTACCATGATAAAAAAAATTTAATGCTGTTAAGCACAGAATCAAAGTCTCATATTGCTCTCATCCACCCTAGAGCAGAAGTTTTAGAGCATTCTAGTAACAACACATGAATGGTATTTTTCAAACTGTATTCATACATATTATCCTTTGAGCTTCACAGTAATTGTGCAAAGAATTATTTCTATCTACATTTCAGAGCTTAGTAAATGGACTCAAAAGGTGTTACTTGATTTGCCCAAAATGATCAAAGTAATAAATGGTGAAATCAAGACTCAATCAAGGTCATGCCCTTTTTTCATTCACCTACCCGTGCATAGATATATTCATGTATTTGTTTGTTCAGTGTGCCAGGTGTGTTGTCTAAAGCTGAATCAGATGTTCTTTTTTTTTTGGAGATGGAGTTTTGCTCTTGTTGCCCAGACTGGAGTGTAGTGGCATGATCTCAGTTAACTGCATCCTCCGCCTCCCAGGTTCAAGCGATTCTCCTGTCTCAGCTTCCCAAGTAGCTGGGAGTACAGGCACCTGCCACCATGCCCAGCTAATTTTTGTCTTTTTAGTAAAGATAGGGTTTCACCATGTTGGCCAGGCTGGTCTGGAACTCCTGACATGATCTGCTCACCTCGGCCTCCCAAAGTGCTAGGATTACAAGCATCAGCCACCGCACCCAGCCCAGATAGTCTTTAACCAACTTATTCAGCCATGATTCAGTTCTTGAGGGACACCTTATTCTCTCTGCATCTTAAGCATCCAGCATAGGGCCTGGAACAGAGGAAGTGCGGAGGAAAGGCAGGTTGGCAGGCTCAACCTGGGTTTCAAGGCTTCATATCCTCTTAGCTTTTCACGCTGCATGTATTTGTATAAAGGTGGGTAAAATGCACACAAATTTGTTTCTGGCTTGGAGTCCTTTGATCCAGCAGAAGAGAAAATGTCCTCTCCTTAAAAGCCACAAATAAAATCTTATGGAGCTCCAAATATGCCCTACCCCAGTACCATTGTCCTCTCCCTTTATACCTCAATCCACTTCATCCCCCAAACTGGCTGCCCCAGTACTGGCAAGATCTCATCCTCCCTCTTCTCCTCTCCCACAGCTTTGTCACCCGAAAGAACCGCCAGGTGTGTGCCAACCCAGAGAAGAAGTGGGTTCGGGAATACATCAACTCTTTGGAGATGAGCTAGGATGGAGAGCCCTTGAATCTGAACTGCTTGCTGCTTGCTCTTGTCCTAGCTTGGGAGGCTTCCCCTTGCTACTCTACCCTACACCCTCCTTGGAGTGCCCAGATTCTGTCACACAGCAGCAGTTATAAAAGCCTTCCCCAGGCTGGGCACAGTGGCTCATGCCTGTAATCCCAACACTTTGGGAGGCTAAGGTGGGCGGATCACTTGAGGTCAGGAGTTTGAGACCAGCCTGGCTAACATGGTGAAACGCCATCTCTATTAAAAATACAAAAATTAGCTGGGCGTGGTAGTGTGTGCCTGTAATCTCAGCTACTTGAGAGGCTGAGGCAGGAGAATCGTTTGAACCCAGGAGATTGAGGCTGCAGTGAGCTGAGATTGCACCACTGCACTTTAGCCCGGTGACAGTGCAAAACTCTGTCACACACACAAAAAAAGTCTCCCCCATCTAAAGCCTTGAAGAGCTTCTGAGGCGCTGCTTTGTTGAAAGGAAGTCTCTAGATTCTGAGCTCTGAAGACCCTTAGCTTCGCCATGGCTCTGTGACTAAAAAGGAAGTCAGCGTGCCTCTAGAGGCAAGGAGGGAAAGAAGACTGCGCTCCTAAGCTTCCATCTCCACTCCTCACAGGAGCTTACTGGCAAACATGAAAAATCAGCTTTCCATTAAACTTATCAATGCAACTACAAAGCTGGCTCTTGGTTTGATTTCCTCCTTGGGAACTCTCCTTCCCATGAGCATTAAGCACACAGGGGTTTAAGGCTTACACACCTGATGTCCATCCTAGATTTGGATGACACGGCTGAAAACAAAAGCTCTCTCAGAAAGGGGCATGGGTGGGTAGAGCAATTAAACTAACCAGTGACTTATCCACTCTGGAGGGGGAGAGGGGACAATAGTCACTACATCCCCTCTCCTGAGTCCCCCAGAGTTTATCTTACTGGCTGCCACAGTGCCTCCCTGTTTCCTCAGACCTTGGTTGGCCCTTCCTCCCTAGCCTACCCTCTACCTTATCCCAAGTGGATTTCTTTAACGCCACCCTTGCTCCTGGAATGGGATTTAATGGCAATTCCAAATGCCGCAAGTTTTTCAAATAAGGAGAATGAGGTATATGTGGTTTTTCCACAAGTACACCAGCTCCTTTAAGGTGGAATATTCCAACTCTCCCATGCATGTCCATTTATGTAAGCATATATGATAATATATATGGTCATAATAATAGTTAACATAACTGCACACTCCCTATGTGCCAGACAATGGCTCAGCCCCTTACATTCATCATTCTTTTTCATCCTTATAACCCTGTGGGGTTAGGTACAATTACTAACCCATTTATAGTCAGGAAAACCCTTGGCAAGAGAGAGAAATGATTTGCCCAAAGCCCCACAGCTCAAAGAAAAAGCAGGTGACAAAAATTTACAATTAAGTTTAAACCCATCATGTCTAATGCCAAAATCCATGCTTTTCTTTCCCACTCTTAATTTGCCAAATTCCAACCCTGTGGAAATTTGCAAGAATACACCACATACCCTTCATCGAGATTCAAATATTAACATTTTGCCACATTTGCTTTATGTGTGTGTGGGGGCAGGGTGTGGTCAGTATATACATTTTTTTCTGAACCACTTGAAAGTAAGTTGCAAATGTGATATCATGTCACCCTTAAAAGTGTCAGTATGTATCTACTAACAAGGACATTATATATAACCAAAAAATGCATACCATACTAAGGAAACTTAACAGTGACACAAAATACAGTCCATAATCAAATTCCACTGGTTGTCCCAATAATGTCCTTTATAGCTATTTTTTAAAATCCAGGATCCAATTAAGTACCCACATTGAATTTAGTTATCATGTCTTTTTTTTAGACAAGATCTCACTCTGTCATCCAGGCTAGAGTGCAGTGGTGTGATCACTTCAACATCCTGGACTCAAACAATCCTCCTGAGTAGCTGGAAGCACAGGTGCATATCATCATGTTTAGTTAATTTTTAAAAATATTTTGAGAGACAAGGGTTTCACCATGTTGCCCAGGCTGATTTTGAATTCCTGGGCTCAAGCCATCCTCCCGCCTTGGCCTCCCAAAATGCTGAGATTACAGGCATGAGCCTCTGTGCCCAGCCAGTCATGCTGCTGCTGCTGCTGCTGCTTCTTCTTCTTCTTCTTCTTCTTCTTCTTCTTCTTCTTCTTCTTTTTATTTTTTTTTTGAGAGGGAGTCTTGCTCTATCACCAGGCTGGAGTGCTGTGACCCACTGCAACCTCCAGCTCTCTGGTTCAAGCAATTCTCTTGCCTCAGCCTCCTGAGTAGCTGGGATTACAGGCACATGCTGCCACACCCAGCTAATTTTTGTATTTTTAGTAGAGACAGGGTTTCACCATGTTGGCCAGGATGGTCTCGATCTCCTACCCTTGTGATCCACCTGCCTCAGCCTCCCAAAGTGCTGGGATTACAGGCATGAGCCACCAGTCATGCTTCTTTAGTGTCCTTTAATATGTACTTTCTTGTCTTTAAGGACATTGATACTATTTAGGAGTTCTGATCAGATTTTTATAGACTGTTTTCTCTAAATTTTCTTAATTTGCCTGATTTTTAATTAGATTTGGGTTAAACATTTTTGGTAGGAAATACCACATAGATGATGTCTTTCTTGGTGCAGCTCATCTGAGTGCATGTTGTCAGTGTACCAGTGATGTTAAGCCTGATGACTTGGTGGCCCATGTTTTCTTGCTGCCCATGGTGTGCCAGGCACTATCATAGGCACTGGGGTGGGGAAAGAGAGGACTGAGGAGTGGGGAGTAAAATTAGAGGGGTGAATAGGCCACAAACCACAATCTTTCCTTTAGGCAGCTCATAGTCCAATAAGGAAGACAGACCTGTGAACAGATTATACATATGAAAAACACTTAAAGCAAGATGTACAAAAAGCTGTGGTCATGCTGTGGGGTGAGGAAATTGCATCACTGAGTGGGGTGGGGCAGGAACCCTGGGTAAGAAAAAGACTTCAGAGATGAGACAACATTTGTGTGGACTTTTTGAAAGATCTGTGTGACAGTTTAACAGGGTTAAAAGGAAAAAGACTGACAGGTAGAGGTAACAGCATATGCAAAAGTAAGAGGTATGAAAGGCAGCTCCTTCATCAAGTCAAATAGCTAATGCATGCTGGGTTTAATACTTGGGTACAGCAAACTACCATGGCACACATTTACCATTTATCTATGCAATAAACCTGCACATTCTGCACATGTATCCTGGAACTTAAAGTAAAATAAAATAAAGTTTTAAAAAATAAAGCAGCTCCTTACCACACAGATAAGAGTTTGGTCTTTTGCTGCCAAAGATGGCGAGGGGATGTATATAAAAGGGACTTTCTGGGGCCGGGTGCAGTGGCTCATGCCTATAATGCCAGCATGTTGGGAGGCCAAGGCAGGCAGATCACCTGAGATCAGAAGTTTGAGACCAGCCTGGCACACATGGTGAAACCCTGTCAACTAAAAATACAAAAATTAGCCCAGCATGATGGCATGCACCTGTTGTCCCAGCTACTTGGGAGGCCGAAGCGGGAGAATTGCTCGAACCTGGGAGGCAGAGAGTGCAGTGAGCCAAGATCTCGCCACTGCGCTTTAGTCTGGGAGACAGAACAAGACTCTCTCTCAAAAAAACAAAACAAAAAATTTTGTTTTTTTAAAAAAGGACTTTGCCATCCCTGACATTTTCCTGATGACTAATCCTAAAAACAATCCCTGATCCTAACATGGGCTTATTTGAGCTTGACAGTTCACTAAATGGTTTGACTTTCTTCTCCAGTTTATGCCTCACCACAGGCCCCCTAGTTAAGCCAGACAGGCATGACTTTCCTACTTTTCCAGTGAGGAAACTGAAACTCAGAAAGTAATGTGACTAGCTCAAGTCCACAGGCCAGTATATGCCAAAGCTGGGGCTCAGAAATAGAGTGTTCTATTTACCAAAGTAACCTGGTTGCTTAGCACTTGGGAGCTTCTACCTCCAGAAGTCCAGACACCTCACCTGTACTTCTTGCACCAGAGGACAGGTCTCCTCCAGCTGTGCCCCTACTCCCCTGAAAGCCTTGTATTCCCTGCTGCAGATTCCCTCTGGCCCCACCAGGAGAAGATGGCCTGTGCAAAATTAACTGATATCTTTGATGTCTCCAGGTCAATGTTCCTGTACCCATGGCTGGACTATCCAGACAGGACCAAAGGTGAGGCTGGGAAGGACAGAAATGAAGCCAGGAGCAGGAGCCTGAAAAAGAAATGCTACCTGGCTCCCACTCCCAGGCAAAATTCTAGGTGATTTCAGCAAACCCAAGGGAAATATCAGGGCAGGCCCTTAGACACTTTAATGGCTCTGCACAGTCCTCAAGGTAAGTCTCAGGCTCCTCAGCAGGGCCTACAGGGCCCTCTAAGATGGGACACTTGTGTATCTCCCTAGCTTTTGCTTCTACACTTGCACCCTGCTCTTTACCCTCAACTCTCATGCCTCCAAATCTTTGCATAGAGTGTTCCCTGTGTCTAATGCTCTTCCCTCTTATCTATCTGGCTAGCTGCTGTTTGTATTGAAGACTCAGCTTGTGCAGTTTCCTCTAGAAAACTTTACCTGATCCTCCCAGCCAGGTTAGGTACCTCTCATGTGTACCACCTGTGTCTACATCTATCTTCACATTTGTTTCCCTCTGTTAATCACTAAGAAACACTTCTGTCTCTCCAGCTAGAACAGTGGTCCTGAAAAAGTGATCCCATGACCAGCAGCATCAGCATCCTGTTAGAAATGCAAATTCTCAGCCAGGCGCATGGTGGCTCACGCCTGTAATCCCAGCACTTTGGGAGGCCAAGAGTTTCCAGTGAAACTCTTGGTCTCAAGTGATCAAGCAGGGGCAGATCACTTGAGACCAAGAGACTGAGACTAGCCTGGCCAACATGGTGAAAGGCCATCTCTACTAAAATTACAAAAATTAGCTGGGTGTGGTGGCACACACCTGTAATCCTAGCTACTTGGGAGGCTGAAGTATGAGAAACACTTGAACCTTGGAGGCAGAGGTTGCACTGAGCCCAGATCATGCCACTGCACTTCAGCAGCCCAGGTGAGAGAGCAAGAATCTGTCTCAAAAAAAATGGAAATGCAAATTCTCAGACCTCACCCTTAATCTAGTGAATCTGATTCTGTGGGTATGAGTCTTGGAAATCTGTGTTTTAACAAACTCTCCAAGTGATTTTTTTCCCCCAAGTTATTTATTTTTTATTTTTTTGAGACGGAGTTTCGCTCTTGTTACCCAGGCTGGAGTGCAATGGCGCGATCTCGGCTCACCGCAACCTCCGCCTCCTGGGTTCAGGCAATTCTCCTGCCTCAGCCTCCTGAGTAGCTGGGATTACAGGCACAAGCCACCATGCCCAGCTAATTTTTTGTATTT